TGTGTGTGTGTGTGTGTGTGTGTGTGTGTGTGTGTGTGTGTGTGTGTGTGTGTGTGTGTGTGTCTCACCGTCATAGTTCACTATGATGATGGCCAACGTGTAATCTTTGCCCATCATGGCTCCGCCCTCCCCACAGTCAGATCCAGTCAGCTGATCCGGTACCAACACTCAGCCTTGTCCTGTCCCTCTGTCTGTCCCTCTGTCTGTCCCTCTGTCTGTCCCTCTGTCTGTCCCTCTGTCTGTCCCTCGTCCTGTCCCTCGTCCTGTCCCTCGTCCTGTCCCTCGTCCTGTCCCTCGTCCTGTCCCTCGTCCTGTCCCTCTGTCTCTCTCTGTCTGTCTCTTTTCTGTCCTCCTCTCATCAGCTTCTTCTCCTCCTTTGTTTTATTTCTGCCTCGATGTTTTCTCTCCTCTCTCTGCCTCTCCGTATGATGAAGGATGCTCTCCTCCTCCTCCTCCTCCTCCTGATGACATCATCACTGCCCTCCCTCTCTGGCTCACCCTCCCTCCTCTGTGAAGTGACACTAATCCAACACATGGTGATGGAACAGTGTTCATTGTGGTGCTGAGTCATTTAGAATATTTTTACTATATTAATAATAACAATAATACTAATATTACAATTAAACTCATTTACTTTAGTACATTTCTCAGATCAGACTTCAAATTCTCCCTCGTTGTAAAATCTGTCGTATTTCCACACGTCCATCAGACGGTTGTTCTGGTGAACCTCCTCCTTTCATCCAGTCCAGAACTTCCTGTTAAACCCTCTCTGCAGGGTCTCCTCTCTGAGGGTCAGACTGGAGAGGACAGGTCAAAGTTCAGGGTAGTTTGGAACAATGCCAGTTTGCATCATCATCATCATCATCATCATCATCATCATCATCAGTGGTCTGTGACCCACTACAGGTCTCTGGTGGGGTTCCTCTCACCCTGCTCTCTGTTCTTTAATCCCACTGAGGAACTTTTCTCAACGTGGCTCGAAGGCTCAGGACCTGTGAGTCCAGTTCACTCCAGACTGGTACCACTCCTCTTCATGAGGCTGGGGCCACCTCGGCCCCCTAAAATAAAAGCAATAGGTCTGAGAGTGGGACCGGTTCTGAAGGTTCTGAGGTTCTTCAGACCATGGACCTGAGTCCAGTGACTCATTCTTCATTATCAGACTAAATGTTTCTAGGCACATTTGAGTTGAGCCAATTCCAGATGGCCGCTGCAGCTAATTGACTGGATGGGCCTTTACCAACCAGTGGCTACACCCTGACCCTACCCACTACCCACTACCCACTACCCACTCCTCACTCTGTTTGTGTGTGCCCACGGAGGGTGGGGACTCAGTTCAGTTCAGCTGTGAGGGGCCTTCACAGGGAGTGTAGTGTGTAGGGAGGAGGGAGGAGTGTGTAGGGAGGAGTGTGTAGGGAGGAGTGTGTAGGGAGGAGTGTAGGGAGGAGTGTGTAGGGAGGAGTGTGTAGGGAGTAGTGTAGGGAGGAGTGTGTAGGGAGGAGTGTGTAGGGAGTAGTGTAGGGAGGAG